GGGTATGTGTAATAACTGTGACGGTCCTACACTAAAAACATTACATAGCTATAGTAGAGAGCACCCCCGGGCATGTTTGCAGACCTGCCCGCGGGCATGTTCGTCTAGTGAAATTGCCACTTAAAGCTTATTCTTTCTTTTGAAGTGACCCCGTCCGAAGCGAAGTATATAGTAACCAAAGAGTTCTATCTATTGTACAATTTATGCTAGCCCGTCGATACGCATCTCTAGGGCGGAATCAAAATTTATATATTAAAATTAATTTATATACAATTCAGATAGGTTCTCGATATAGTTCTTCTTTTAAGAGCGCCATTAGCTTAGATACGTGAACAATATAAAGTATGTACTACACGATTAATAGTCTCCTGAGATAAATGACGTTGAGCTTTTAACCAAATGACAAGTTAAAATGGGTTAGCCGTGACGAAGAAAATGTTTACATGTTATGTTTATTGGAAGGTACTTTTTGTGCCACGTGAATTTCAAACTCGCACATTTCGGTTCCGTACCATTATTAGCAAAATAAAAGAAAATATGATGAATCTGATTTTAGTATTTGTTGTTAAAGCGGCAGCGAAAACACATTAGCTGCGAAAATTTCAATTATTTAACTATCACTGGTCATTACAGCCTGTTAACAGGAAGCGGCGGAGTCTAATACAAGCTTTCTGAATTGAGAATTGAAAGTTAAGCACATCTCAAACTCAACTTAAACGGGTTTTGGTTCCTGATTTAAGTTTTTTTTAATGATCAGTTGATAGCAGATTGATAAAACTTCTTTTGACTTCTGAAACGTAAAAAAAATAAGTTATCTAGAATAAGTTAGCAGAAATTTTGTAGTTTCTTTTTTAAGGGCAGTCGAACAGACGGATCACCTGATGGTAAGTGATTACCGTCGCCCATGTCGCATCGCTGCAACACCAGAGGGGCTTCAAGCGCGCTGCCTGCCTTTGAGGGACGAATATGCTCTACGCTTGAAAGTTTGAAAGTCGTATCTGTCCGGAAATACCGCTGGCGACAAACTGTTCCAGAGTTTTCTCAATTCAGAAACCAGCTGTTAGTAATAGGGTTTACGGGCACAAAAACCTAAAAAAGACCTAGTAGATTCTGGACTCTCGACATTGTTTAGGTTTCACTGGAATTAAAGTTATTTTTTAAACATACTAGAGGTTTTTTATAGATACCTATAATACATAATGTTATTTATTCTTGTAAACGATTTCCACCTAAGCCGTTACGGGTCGTCCGATCTCCACACTAACATCCCAAAGGAGCCATGTGTTTCACAGACCCATAGATAGACGTAATTTATAAGCATATCTAAAAAACGCACTGTAACTTAACTCTCCCAATACTACCCTAGTAATATCCTGTTTTTGTGAAACAAAAAAAATGCAATATGAAATTATTTTATCTAGTTGTATAGTTATAGGATTCAAAGGCCTTATTACACGACCACTAGTTCTCTAGGCGTTTTTTTCGAATGTTAATAGAACGGCGGTAAGTACTATGTAAATTTCAAGATTTGTCTTTTTGGTCGAAAATGCCCATATTAATTTATATTCAGTTAAATTAAAAAAGTAGTTCGACAATTTACTAAAACCCATATGCGCGAAAATAATCATAGAGTGAAAGTATCTGGTTAAGCACGTTGCAACTTATACCAAAATTCTTAAACCTTAACATATGTCCTCATTTTAACGCTTTAAATACGATTATGGATGCCATTCAACCCAATATCTAGAATCCTAACTTTCGGATTCACAGTATTCATAACAGTACATATAAATCCTAATTTTATTCTACTTTCACCCGTTGCAACGGTTTATTATTCTAAAATTCCTTACACACCCATTCACCTCTGATAAATACTATTAAATGCTTACTCTATCAAATATATCTTATACAAAAATGTGACTAGTCGATCTAGTTGCATAAAAATTTGTTGTTTACAAAATATACCAAAGAAATTTCACTACATGAATCTTATTTTATTACAGTCCACTGACCTTCATAGTAATCAAGTATCTGTTTAAATATAGCACTCACAAACTTTCGCTGTTTCTATAACTGGTTATGATAATGCCAGTGAATCGCAACGAACCCATCCTCTTGTCGCGATTTTTACAACCGATGCGTGATCACAACGGCAGCGATGGTTCCGTACTTTAAATTGTAAACTAATAAGAACATATCATAGTCCATCTTCTTAGAACCTTTTCCTTTTTATTAGAAATGCGTCATAATATCATATTAAATTGAAATTACCGTCAAAATGGTATGCAATCTCTTTTTGAAAATCAAGTAACACTTGACTTTATAGTAATTTGGCATCAAAACCGTCCACGAAAAGTAATATCAATGTCCGCTACTTATTTCGATGTATGGAACAATCAGCCTATTAACAAAGCTATTTTCGTGAGAGCACAGTTCGATGCTTTTGTAGTTTTAGAGACACTTCGATGATGTCGCTGAAGGCTCCTAGTGTAAGTCATACTCAGAGTCTACCAAAATTCCAACAAACATCTAAACATAATGTACTAGTTACTAATACACATTAAAGATTTGAATTAGAGATAAAAACCTGTGTAAGTATGAAATAAAAATACTTATAGGTATAATGAATCTTTGTCAGAGATAGAATACATAGTGTACATTTGATACAATTTTTAACATCTTTCTATGATTAACCTTATTTAATTTTTCTGTGATTTAGTCAATAGTGAATGTTTGAATTATGTGTATTGATTAAAAGTCGGAAATTAATTATCTGTCATATAAAGCCGTCAACAATCTTTAGAATTTAAGATTATTGTTTCGAATATCACACATATAATGATATTTCTATTGGGAATAAAGCTTTTTTTATTGATAGGTTATAAAAGTGATTATTTCTATTCATGTTTCTGTTCCCCGATAAACTTAATTAGTGATGTTCACTCATGAAATTCACATACACGACTAGATAAAAATAGGTTAAAACCGGTTTTCACGCTAGGCAAGGACATGAAGTGAACTCAAAACGGAACATCTCGAATACCGTTATCTTGACCTTGCAACAATTTTCACATGCAATTATTTTCAAGAAAATATTGAACTTATTACAAAAATACACCTTTTTTATCAATATTATTTTAATGTTAACTAGTTTCTTATTTATTTCGTTATTAAGCTCTGTTTCCGCGAATTTGGTCGCGTTAATTATAACCTATGTCTCCAGTATTTTTTTTTAATCTTTTTAGTCATTTTGGACCTTTCAATGCAAACAAACATTACGACTACATTCTTTCCTCATAATATTAGTATAGATAACTCTTTATAAGATTAGTATAGATAATTCTAACATCTCTCAATTTTTACGATGAAAGTTGATACTTGATGATACTTACCTAAATATAGCATTTTTCTTTATAATATTGGACACACTTTCGATATATGTATTTGGTAATAGACAAATAAAGCGATATGTTTTACTTGCTAATTCCAGATAGACCAAGAAGTTACAATACTACTTTTCGGTGATATCTTAAGTCTTATAAACGGGTTTCATTGGTATTTTCTATTTAATTATAGCTTTGAAGTTACCAGGTAGATTAATAATGACCATGAATATTATTGGTATTCGTATCAAGTCTGTTGAGCGAGTTATAACTAACGGATCTGTCAAGATTGACACGCGGCACATAATCGTTGTAGTAAACACGCCTGCACGTGTTGACGTCTCAATTACTTTTCTAAACACGCTATAGACATGGGTCAGTGAACTGTTAACTGTAGTTAGCACTATTGGAAATATAATGGCCCTTTACTGATCCAATTCATCGATAACCCCGTCTCTATTTTTGTTATACTTTTAGAACCAAAGTAGAATCAAAGGTCAACTGCCTAAATTTGCATGTAGAGTTAACCTGAGAAGTTTTTCCAAATTATCTGAACGTAATGATAATTTTCATGAATTCATCACTACTTTTATAATATTAAAAAAAACATACATTTGCACAATCATTATAGAAGCGACGATCACAGAACTCCGATTTACTTAATAATGACTAGCCCTGACGTAGGAATTTATACTCCCAGTTGTTATATTTTTTTTTATAACGTGTTAGCTGATCCTGGTAACTTCGTAACGCTTCAGAATAAAATAACTTGTCATTGTAGAGTCAACGTCGTCACGTCACAATACTGTCAAAACCTTAATATGTTGCGTGAAAAGTTTAACATCGGTTGTAAAAATTCGACATATTGTGACAGTTTGACGTGCAACCGTGTGTACATTAATTTGCTCAAAATACCCGTCCAACTGGTGCGAAAAATTTAAATGAGAAACTACTATTTTTCTTGTAATGTCATATTGTTTCATCTTTTAAACCTTATTTGAACTTTATAGTTAAAAATGAAGAAAAAATCATGAATCCCAGATGCTCGAGATGGGATAGAGATTTACTTTAGCATTTTTCTTTAAGATCAATTTAGCATTATGAATATAAAATAGATCAAATAATAACATTTAAAATCTAAAAATACTTTCAAAATTAAATAACCCAAATAAGAATATTTATTCTCGAGTTTTAGTGAGATAAACAAACACGATTGTATGTTTATATGCAATATAGATTGAATTACACAATCTTCATACTTTTCGTAAATTATTTATATATTTCCTTCAGTTCTCACGGTTGTACCCCAAAACATATCGTGGCTGGGCTAAGCCAACATCGACATAAATAAATATAAATATATTATCATATCATGTACTTCTCAACTACAGCCTTCGAATAGTGCACAAGTTATATTTCAAAGCCAAAGTCAAGCTACACGAAACAAAAATTAATACATAACTAAACGTTAAGTAAATATTTGTACAACTAACATAAGTACTCGAGAATGGTTTGGGGCAATAAGTTGTTTGGAGCTTAACGCTAATTGTGCTAACGGCAAGTTAAATACGATAACTGACGTTTGTAGAGTAGTTTACTTCGGGCGGGCATGGGGGATGTTGGTCATCATGTCACGAACGGTACTTTTAAGAGAATAATGCCAAAGCGGCACGTATGCGCGCACGTCCAGTCGATAAGAGCCGCTCCTGATGCACGGACGGTCACTGCAAATTATATAAAATTACACTTTAAAAGAGAAACATTAATGAAAAACATAAAATACGCAACAGGTGAAGTATTAATTTGGTTTTAATTTAAAAAATGAAAAGTTTAATTTTTACGGAAAGTTATTTCTTACACCATTACGAGTGATTTTATTATCAGTTAAAATATATATAATGAACTTCTATTATAATACAATTTTTATACTGTGTTTCTTTTAGGAAAATGAGAAATTTCGAAGTGGTTTCGATAGCTTTAATTCTAGTGACATTTTTAATAAATAACTCAAAAACAGAGGAAGATGACTACATAACTATTGACAATGAAGTAAAGAGAGCAAGAATATTGTGGCCATACCCAGCGCACCATAAAGCTGGTGCAGATAAACCTGATGCAGACATGATGAAAGGAAATCATGAACTTGGAAAAGACGATGACGATAGAAACAATAGAGACGACCAAGGTAAGAGCAGGAAGGGCCGTTTCCTGTTGTGGTCATACCCGCAAAGTCCAATAGTCAATATGATGATGCAAAATGTTGCAGTCAACTATTCACCGAAGAACCCAAACGATCCATTTGATTTTCTACGTGACTCTTATCCGTTGCCAAAAGGTGAGAGATACTTTTGTTTTTTTTTACTATTAGATAGAATTAAGTTGTTTCTAATCTAAGATATAAGGTGTTGATAATATTGAAAAATTCGTCTTAAGATATTCACTTTTTAAATTAAAATTACGAATAGATCTTAATGTTCAAAATACTTACTAGTTAAACCACTTCCATAAATTAAAATTAAAAGCCACTAGGTTATATCTCTAGTATGAAAATCGATGAAATTTCTGCACACGAAGCTCTTTAGATAAGTCTAATTATGTACGGGACCCATTAAAAGTTAAATTCCTAATCACGGGAACCAAAGCTCTAGGGTACGATCGTCTAACTATCTGACTATGATTCAAGCTATAGTATACGACGTTTTAGCGTTATTGTGGCGATATTTTGTATCTTACGAGAAACCTTATAAATAATATAAGATACCTTAATAATACCTTAAAAATATAAGAGTTAATATTTGAAATTGTAATTTACTAGCTTTCCGCTAGCGACTGCGCCTACATGGCCCTTTAATATGCATATAATTATAAACTTTCCTGTTGAATCACTCTGTATATTGATGAATACCGCATAAAATCTATTGTGTGGTTTAAAAGATCATAGTATACAGACAGTGGAAAGCGATTTTGTTTTATACATGTATAGATCATACATAATCTGCTTAAATGGTTGCCCTATATAGTTTACTAATATTACAGCGTTTTTTTAAGTTGGCTTTAGTGCAAATAAACTTAATAACGAATTAAACGGCTATGCAAACAGTATTATTTTGTCTGTCTCTGAATCTGAGTTTTTAGATACGTGTCTAAACAATATCAAGAATAACTATGAGTTCACTGTTAAATGAACTTATATTTACGAATTTCTTCATTGCAGTTTTATATTATTTTTTATTGTATAAAAATAAGTCTTATCTATTGTGAGTTGCCTTATTAAGATGACATTTATTATATATTGTTAAATGTATGACAATACAGTGATATTGTTAACGTGGGAGGAAATAACTACGTTACCTTTAAGAAAGATAGTTGAAGGCTTTCCTTATTATTTTGTTACTATTATACTTATACTTGCATGATCTTCTAATTGTAGGTATATTTTTAACTGGGGAAATTGTTAGTTTTTCTTTTCAAAAAAAAATTTTATTTACCTTTTTATTGTTCATTGACCATTGACCAGCAAGTCAATCAAGACAAGAAGTAGTTAAGGTTCACATACTTCACGATGTAAATAATTTATATATAGCGTTATTAATTTTAGTTAATAATATATATATATATATATAGCGGCTTTGCCCGCGTGGTTCCTAGGGAGCTGTTTATTTGTATATCGATTTATATCATGATACGGATATAATAACAATGACAAATGGAATAGTAAATAATGGTTACTATGGTAACGTTTGCTATTTTTTCTAAATAAAATATAGCCTATGCTAACTGGATATAATGCAGCTTTCCGTAAGTTAAAGAATTTTTAAAATCGATTCAGCAGTTTCGGAGCCTATTCTATGCAATTTAGTAGAATAAATTTAATAGAAGAAATTATTAGTAGAAATTTCATCTATAAAAATAAACAGTTCAATCTTTCCTCTTTATAATATTAGTATAGATTTATTACGGTTTTGTATTAACAGAGGTAATAAATTATGGAGTTTCTGCCTGTGGATATCAAGGGATTCTTTTATTAAACAAATAAAGTTATATCATATGCGATGGAGATAGATTATACTTTATGCTGCTAAACAGTTCCCTAAGGACCGTGCGGGCAAAGCCGCTGGCGGAAAGCTAGTCTTATATTTTCATGTTTCTCTCGTAAATTCGCCTGCTTAAGTTCGAAAGACTGTCATGTATGTTTTGAATTTATTGAGATCAAAAAGACAACAGACGCAATAAGAGGCAAAAACACTGTAAAATAATTATATGTTTAATTTACGGAAAAATTCCTAGTGAGCTGAATTTCGGTATACACCTTTATTATAGTGTTTTAATGACAATTTGATATCGTGCCGGCTCGCCAAGGTCAATGTTTTTTCTGCAGATTGAAGTTAAAAATATCTGAAATTAGGGTGGAATATAAAATAATTGTCGCTATCAACAAACTTGGAGGAGCTCGATGGTTAGCGCAATTAGTCTGCGACAGTTATTAAGCAACTTTCGCAATGACCGGTCATAGGATGGGTGACCAAAAATTTATTATCTCGAGCTCCTCGGTGTTTCCGGCTGCATATGTGGTCGTTAACACCCACCTTTCCGCACTAGGCCCGCGTTTTCGATTAGATTCGATTGCATCCATAGGGACGGCCTGAGACCCGACAGTAGGGACGTTAAAATTCAGATAAATAAATTTAGATGAAACAAACTTTGTCTAGTTTACAAAATCTATCACAGAAATCATTACGATTCTACAAAAAAGTTGGTTTAGATATTGTTTATTCGCTTAAACACCATTGAAATTCTCAATTCTTCCAGGTTATAGTACGCCATTAGATGAGTACGACTACGTGATAGTTGGGGCAGGATCGGCTGGTTCTGTGTTGGCTGCACGTTTAACTGAAGATAAGCCTAAAGCAAATGTACTGGTACTCGAGGCTGGCAAACCGGAGATGCTCCTATCAGATATACCAGCGCTAGTCCACTACTTGCAACTCACAGATTATGCTTGGCCTTACTATATGGAACACCAACCAGGAGTTTGCTTGGGTAAGACTTTTTTTATTTATTTAAAAATGTGCTCAATTTAATCTCAATTCTCAGGCTGAACATGAATCAATCAATCAATCAACATGAATAAGATTTACGATCGGACGAGCTAGCCTAGAAATAACCTATTCTCTCTTCATCGACTGCTATTAAAATATTATAAAAAAACTATCAAGCTATATCTTCACGCCTAAGGGATTGTTGCGGGGTAAGCAGAGAGGACCGAACGCTTCATGGTAAGGTCCGTACATTCATCTGGAAGATGTCTCTTCCACTTTCATTATCTTGGGTTTTATGGCTTCTTTTTAAAGAAAACATACGCTAAAAATAGAACCCGATAAGGCTAACAAAATCTTCAAAAAAAATAAACATAGACTGGTGGTCTATGTTTATTATAAAGAAAATCTATTTTATTAAATTATACAGAAAATTCTTACGTTTGCAATATTAATCAATGATTTTCAAGTTGATTACGAATTGTTGTATATTGCGATTACAAAGTTAATTTCATTAAATACTTTTGTTCTGAAGTTTGACATAATGTTGTCTTTATTTTTATCCAAGACAAATATGATAAACGGTCAATTAATTCATTCAAACTTAAACTTATTATAGTTTTTATAATATATATTAATTATTTACTTATAATATCATACATTAATGATATGAAAAAAAATCTGCGCAAATCTTTAGCAACTGTTATTCAGACATTATAAATTGATGACTCTCTCCCCATATTCGAACTGCCCTTAATAAATTAACTTTCAAACGAGTGTTACGTGAAAAACTTAAGAATTGTCCAACTGCTAGTAATTAATCTGACATTTTTATATTTATGTAAGTATATATGTATGTACTATATGTATTTAAATATAAATTTTGTTTTTATTATTATTTGAACGCCACGTTGCGTTTTTTATTGCGTTCAAAGGGGGAGGCCTATGTTCAGCAGTGGACGTCTTCTGGCTGATGATGATGATGATGATGATGATGATTATTATTATTATTTATGATATGTAATATGTTTGTTCTTCATTTATTTTGATTTTTTATTGTATATGTGTCTACCTATATATTGGCTTTATTATTTTTTCATAGCACCGCCTTATTAAAATATCTATTCTATAACTCTCTAGTTGACCGGTAGAGAATGCCTACTGGCAATAAGTCCGCCATTTGTACGCTTTATTTGTGCACAAAAGTTTAAATAAACAAAATAAGTTCATTAAGTAAAAGTTATAAGATACAACTTTTTTAGTATCTATATAACATTTTATGCAGACACAAATGAAACTACTAAGTTTAATTTAATAATAAATATAATACACCGTAAGACCGTTATTCACCTAAACTTCGTTAGCGTGTCCAAATTTTAATGTACTTATGTATGTTGTGAGTTTCCTGCTAAGGGCGCTTGTGCACTACACTGAATTTTCAGGTTCAGCGATTATTACTTCTATACTTATCTATTGTCTAAAAAATATTTAATAGTGACAAATTTCCAGGCAAACTTACATCCAATATTTTTCGCGATAAAATGTAGCCTATGTCATTTCTTAAAGTTAAGTCTACTATATTAATTTCTATTAAGATGGAATAAGATCTTACCTTAACTTATCGATACTTTTAATACGGTCCTAAAATCTAGCTAAGTATCGATACTAGGACCATACGCTGATCAACTTAGAACTATACCAAGTAATCATCATATAAAATATAGCATTTTATAATCTACAATTAATATCAATTATAAGTTTATTGGAAATTAACAATATCGCTGAAATAAATATCAATTTTACACAAATCGGTTATTTTTTCTCAAGCCTATTCTTCATGAATTTTCCGGATCGCGGACACAGCAGTGCACAAGCGTAAACACGTTTTTTATTGCCGCCATCACGGACCTGAAAAAATCGGTCCGGAATAGAGAAAGTAAAATCCCGGACGGTAAAATTCCTGACAGTGCACAGGCTAGCATTATCTATATATGGTCTGACATATCGGACCGCCGGCCTTGAAAATTCAGTGTAGTGCACAAGCGCCCTAAGTGCCTATGCAACTGCAAAGTTGAGTGATCTCTCAAAATCTTATTACAGAACTTATTCAAATGTTGAGGCGTTTTAATTTTCATTACGTGTTCAAGTAGAGCAAACACCAAAGTGAATATAATGAAAATTTACATTAAATTTTAATTATATAAATAAATATATCACACAAAAAAATTACAACTTGACGTATAAAATTACATAAATAAGTAATAACTATGTTCGACCATAAAAAAATAATAAGCAAAGCAATACTCACATCTTAAATCATATATATAATATAATTTTAATTAACATAATTAAAATAATTTTAACTCACATTTTAATCAGAAATACGTTAAATTAAAAAAGTTCTTTATTTAATAATAAACTGTAATTTTAATAATAGTCACCAAATTTAATAAATTAAAAAATGCTTAGAATGTCGATTTATAATATTTTTTTTGCTCTCTTGTATAATTGAATTTTTACAATAAACATTTTTTTCTTGTTCTTTGTTTAGTTATAGATATATATAAATACCATATTAATTACATATATGGAAGCTATATGCAAGCTGTAGATAATTACAAAGGCATGTTCATTCATATAGCATCCTGTTGTTTGCATACCAATGACAGTGGCTGGCATTACACTGTTCTGTTTCACTTTACTATTAATAATCCTTATTTGGATCGGAATATGCCTTAGAAGAAAATGTAAATGTTGTTCTACATTGCATTGAAAAAAATTAATATTTTAAATATTTTCTTTACCACAAAATTCACCAAGTTTCTATTTACCTTTTTATTTTTGTCTAACGAAATTTACAATTATATTAGTTGCCATTATAAAAAAAATTATAATGTATTTTTATTACCGTTATAACAACAAATACTATAACCAAATAAAATAAATATTTAAGCGAGCCTCCCACACTACAAAATGGGGTTTTTGCCGTTTTAGGATTCCGTAGTAAACAAGGAACCTTTATAGTTCCGCTATGTCCGTCTGGCCGTTCGTCTGTCCATCTGTCCTTCCGTCCGACCGTCCATCTGTAGTTTTTAAGCTAAATTTTAGTGTATTTATGACGATTCAAAGGTTCTACAATAGTTAACAATAACATAAAATAATAAACAACAAAGTTATTTTGGTCCTGTGGGTCACGTGATAGATCAGAAATTTCAAAGTTATTGTTTTAACAGATAACAAAACGAAGTGAACGCTTTGACGACTTTTAAATTAGCTGTCTTGTTAAACGGTGTAAATGTCATAGAATTAAACTAGAAAACTAGACATGCAATTTAATGGGGCCATCCAATTAAATGGCTTGCCACTCAATTCAACGCATATTTTAAACAGTTGCCTGCAACATCTATATGTCTGAACGCAATAAAATTAAAACTTACTTCATTTTAGATTATCCGGAATGAAACGCTTACTAATTATTTCTGATATCGTAGTTTTACCTATTATAACCTGATATTCTCTTTACCAGGCAGCGAAGAACAGCGTTGCTTCTGGCCACGAGGCAAGGCAGTAGGAGGTTCAAGTGTCACCAACTCTATGTTCTACACAAGAGGCCGCCCTCAAGACTGGGATAGAATCGCTGCAGATGGAAATTATGGCTGGTAAGAAAACAATAATTGCTCTAAACGAATTAAAGTTAAAAAAAAACGAATAATCAGTTATCATTACTGATTTTTAAATATTGCAGTTATTTTAATACTTTAGTTATATACATTTAATAGATGTTGAACGACTTCTTAAGGTTCCATACAGAAAAAAAGATAATAACGGAAACTTAATAAGATCACTCTATTGTCTTTGTCCGTCTATAAACGACTCCGTTTGTGGAATCTAATTTGCTCCGAAATGACTAAGCTGATTGAGCTAAATTACTCTTATGTAAATAGATGACCCAAAGGCGAGCGTGTATAAATAGAAATAAAAAAATGAAAACTATACCTTACGGCTACAGATAAGTAATGGCATATCAAATACAGAAGGTTATTAAGAGAATGGTAATTTTTTCCAATACAAGCAAATATGATTTTTAACGTTGTTTGTTGTTCATAGTATAATGTAACATAAGTATCAACCATTTTAAACTACCTTATTTAAATTTTCTAAATTGCAGGTCACATGAGGAAGTTCTTCATTACTACAAAAAATCTGAAAGATCCCGACTGAAAAAATACAAGGACTCATCGTATCGTGGCCGCGACGGTGAACTAACTGTTGAGAACGTTCCGTTTAAGTAAGTTCAAACTACCACACAATACACCCATTACGTATGTACTAAGATTATATTCTCCAAAATAAAGTAACTAGGTAACAATGGTAAACAATAATAACACGACTGCCGATTTAATACTTATATTGAGTAATAATAAGATGGTTACAAATATCTTTGTATATATGATAACATCTTTGTACAGTGCACTTTAAGCATAATAATAATTGAATTTTCAGAACCGGTCTTATCGAAGCTTTCCTCAAAGCTGGTCGTGACTTTGGCAATCCAACAGTGGATTATAACGCACCTGCGCAATTTGGATTTGGCTATATACAAACAACTACTGACAAGGGCCACAGATTAAGTGCTGCAAAAGCTTTTCTGCATCCACATAAACGAAGAAAGAATCTTCATGTTCTTCCTGAAGCAAGAGCTACAAAATTAATAATTGAACCCCAGACCAAGAGAGCATATGCTGTAGAATACATTAAAAATGGCATAAAACATACCGTACGTTGCAGAAGAGAAATTATTCTCTCAGCTGGTCCAATAGCATCACCCCAGCTACTGATGCTCTCTGGAGTTGGACCACGTGAACATTTGGAAACTCTCGGTATCCCTGTTATTGCTGACGTGAAAGTCGGAAAAACCCTGTATGATCACATAGCTTTTCCCGCCGTCATATTCAAACTGAACTCTACAAATGCCAGTCTTTTGGAACCCAAAGTGGCAACATTATCTAATTTGATGCAATGGTTGCAATTCGGTGATGGACTTCTAACAACTCCCGGTGCCGTTGAAGGTTTAGGGTATATAAAAACAGCTGTTTCAGAAGATCCTGAATTAGTTCCTGATATCGAATTGATAAGCATGGGAGCATCAATTACCTTAGACGCTGGAGGCGCCTTTAGAAAGAGCTGGAAAATTTCTGATAAGACATATTATAAATCTTTTGGATCACTCAGCGGTGTAGATACGTGGTCAGCAATACCTATGCTTTTAAATCCAAGATCCAAAGGTTATCTCGAGTTACGGGATACTAACCCTTTCTCACATCCAAAGATGTATGGAAATTATTTGACCGATCCAAAAGATATAGCTACGCTCAGAGAAGGTATTAAGTATGTTATAAAATTAGGTCAATCGGAAGCGTTTAAAAGATATGCACCTCAATTGCATTTACCTGAATATCCCACTTGTATAACTTACGCACCAGGCACAGACGCTTATTGGGATTGTGCCATAAGAACAATGGTGGTATCAATGAAACATCAAATTGCTACTTGCAGAATGGGTCCTCCAAACGATCCCTATGCTGTCGTGGATCCCGAGTTGCGGGTATATGGAATTGAAGGATTACGAGTAGTAGATTCTAGTATTATACCTAGACCCATTACTGCACACACCAATACGCCAGCAATAATGATAGGGGAAAAGGCTGCAGATATGATAAAAAAGACTTGGTCAAATGTTGTATAATAAAGTAGACTGTAATAATATTTTTAGTTAAATAAAGACTGCGTAAGAACTATTTTATTGATTTTAAAATATTTTTAATTTATTTCATACTAGATAAGACATAAGAAGAAGGTTCTTTGTGTATGGGTACTATAATACTTACTGATAATAAATTCCTTGTGTATCAAGTAATTGTTAAAGCAGAGAGCAAAGAAAAATTTATAACAAACAAATTCAGAGAAATAAGGGTTAGAAGCAATTCCCAATTGAAGTGTTCTCGGAACGAAGCTGCTGAATAAAACACATAAGCTATTCGAGAGCTCTCATTGAAATTCCTCGGACAAGATACATACACGAAAAATGCACATTGGTTACGTCACTCTCGAGATTAGGGCAAGATTATTTTGTCAACTTACACAAAATATACGGCATATATTATTTAAAGTAGTACCCGTTCTTATTATATTGGCAAACTCAACATTTATTTCACAGAATATTTAAAGAAACTTCTACTATTCACAATTTCTTTTTACTATATAGGCTATAACATTAGCCTCAATAACTGCAATCAAATAAGCTTTTATGGTTTATTTTTATTGTGTGTATTCTATTAACTCTATTAATATGAACAAAATAACTGTTTTAATGTAATTTTCTGAACCAACGTTGCAATCAACGGACATCGTTTGATTTCATTATGTTAGCGGGCGTTTGAGAAAGTGTTCGCGTCGAGTCACGTTTACCCAAATAATAAAATTAATGGTTCTCCTATACAGAGATCCATTACCAATAAAAGGGCCCTACCAGTAAGATGGACTTTTGGGCAACACATAAACTTATATATATAATATATTTTTAAAATTATAACAATATTAAAATATAAGGGAAATTTTGTTTTTTCTTTTTTGAGTCATACTCAAAACTTGTTTGTGTTGATTATGAAACTACTCAAACACGAAATAATAATAATTTATTTATTTGCTTTTAAATCGAAAGGAAGTCATCAGTGTCTAGTAATGCTCGTGTACAAACAATCCTAAATTTAGGTTTATGTAACATGTTTATGTTTATATAACATGTAAACTGAGTTTTCAATATCTAACAGAAATAAATTTATTTATAATTACTAGAGATCCCGGGTTCGATTTCCGCTCGGGTTAATGTAGAAAATGAACTATATTATCATGAATCTGAGTGTTGTGATACCTTCATTGCCTCAGATACTCCATAACAAGCGGAGGTTAGCTACTCATTTTGGAATCTGAGTAATGTATGCGATGTTGTCTGATATTCATTTACAACAAAACAATTACTCAGGTTAACTCACTACAGATAATCAAAATATTAGTCTAAAAAAAATAATAATATGTGAACACGTCACGATTTTTTCTTTTTAATTAAGAGTTCAAGACCTTTAAAACAATACCATTGAATAAAAATATATATTTTATGGCAACGGTTACTTTTATTAACTTAAATAATTTTAAAAATATATTAGACTTATTCATTTACCTACTACCACTACTATCTACTAGAAAAGTAGTCGATGGATCAACTCGCTTTTAACACAATACATTTTCCCGCCAGTTTTATTTATCTCAAAGTTTCCGTGGAAGCAGGCAAAGTCGATCTAGGAAGCGCGTAATAATCTGATCGAGCAACAGATTACATGTGAATGTTTAAGTAAGTATAAACTTTGTTAAGAAATGTATCTCCAATGACATAATTTATTCTTCTTCCTCTTCTCCATCGGTGGTTGTCCAGCATCATGGCTACCTTTAGTTCGTAGTCCTCCTTCCCAACCAATCGCTTAAGTTCTTAAGCCAGGAACCCATACCGTAATTTCTGTTACCTTCTTATAGCATAGTTGCCATATAATTTTCCCCTGAATTATGAGATAAAGAACTCTGTATTTGTTATAGGAATAACAAAGAGTTCTTCATCTCATGATGAGGACATCATCACAAGCCTATTAATCACCCTATTGATGGGGCTCTGGCCGTTCCTATGGATGGAATCGAATAGAGAGAAAGGGCCATGACCCACCACGCAACCCCATTGGGGATTGGTGGATCTTAACCACTGCAGATGCTGCATCGACCAACGTATTTACGTGTTTTCTAATTCGTTCGTGTTTGATAACGTAGTCGAGATATATATACATATATATATATATATTTACTTTTGGTCACCCATCCTATCACCGGCCACCGGCGAATGTTGCTTAACAACCGTATAAAAATGCGCGCTATCCACTGCGTCATCAGGCTTCTTAATTCAGACTATTTACCTTCTATAAAATAACCTACTATAAAAGCTTTAATGTATCGTGATTTCGATGTCTGTGATTCTCATTGGGAACATCATATTATCCGTCGCACCATAGAATTTTATACCCTGCCCCTTTATGACTCGGCTTAATATTGGATCCCAGGTTATTGGTTGTTCAGTAGAACAGTTAGTAGGCACGCATAAACGAATTCGATTTCACGAACTTTGACTTGATAAAATTAGATTCGTTGAGAGATTAGGTTTGTTACACAATCAACGATTAATTCAATGAGTTTACATGTGAAGGAAACAAAATAAAAAAAGACGTAATGTACAAATAATAATTGTTATTAAAAATAAATTAAATATAGAATGATCGCAAAAGAACTAATTACGAGCTGAAACCAGGAACTATATGCGCCACGTGTTTGATAATGTAGTTTTATATTGGAGAATTTTTTTATTGTTTCAATTAGTTTTAAGATTATCCAATCCATATAATCTTTCCTCGGTAAGCTCCAGTAGAGGCAAAAGAAGGAATTTCAAAATTAAAGCATTTTGAACTTCCTTTTTTTGTATGAAAACATATTTAAACCACCGCACCACCTGTATTGATCTAATTCATTCATTGATCTAATTGATCTGCTATAAGCCTTATATTAGTAGTAGTAGCTCATTAATTCCATCAAGTGCCATAAAGTCTCTTATGTTGACCAAGTGATAAGGAAAACTCAATGGTGCAATGGTTAGTACGCTCGGTCTAAAATACGGTTGTTAAGCAACTTTTTCCAATGGCTGATCATAGGATGGGTGACCAAAAATTTATTATTTCGAGCTGCACCGTGCTCCGGAAGGCACGTTAAGCTGTTGGTAGCGGCTGCATCTGCTTTCGTTAAAACTCACCAAAAGGGGACTTCATGGTGACTCATGGTCCATTCTTCCTATTCCATTTGATTCGGGAAGGGCTAAGCCCCATCAATGGGGACATTAATGAGCTGGTGAACATGATATAGCATCGAATTTTAATATACGCTATAATAATTATCAATCTATTCATGTAGCCACTGCTGAGTAAAGAAAATAAAATAGAAAAAGTTTTTATTTTTAATTTTTCGTTGCCAAAATCTTTTTTCAAAATACCGACTCGCACTTAGCTAGTTTTTTTACAGGATATACTTACCATTTAATAAAGTTCAATGTTTCCTTCTAACCAATTGCCTTCAATATACACAAGTACCGTCATAATGTTTCAGTTAATAAATTACATGAAAATGAAATAAAAATCAGTACGAATGGGGCGCTAATGGCCTTTGGGCGGACGTCGTCTCACCAACGAGGGCCGCACTGAAATGAGTTTCTCGGATTCCAATTTCAATGCTGTTACAATATAAAAGTTATGTATTCGAAGATTCCAACTTTTAAAATTAGAATATGATCAAACAATTTGTTTCTTTTAAAAGGTCGTGGAATTTCTTTTTTTATGTTTCGAACCAGCAGAGTGTGTATTTAGAAATTTTCAGACATAAGTGTTTTTTATTTGAATATTTTGATACCATATCAATGACGATTCTACCGGCCCGCAATTCTCTTCTAACCACTACAAGTGAAAAAATCTTTTTAAAAATAAAACCGACTTTAAACTTAAAAAAAGGGAAAAATAATATTCATCTCAAAACCAACTTATTAAAAATAAACGCCATTGAAGTCGAGCGCCTATTATTTAATTAATAACTTAAAATAGCCTTTTCTAGTGTCTAGTCGGTTCTAGTCTTTATTCCATGCTTTTTTAGTGATATTGATATTTTTATATAATAGGTAACTTTTCTGAAAACCTACTCAAAATCGGTTAATCGATTTACGTTACAACACATACAACACGTATTAAAGTGTGAATCTCCATTTTTTTCGTCGGTTAATAGACCTACAATCTTCACACAAGTGTGACAAATACTATGCTGAAAACCGCATCAAAATCGATTCAGCCAAAATATAACTTAAAGATTTAAAGACCTTTTATCTTTAATTTCAAAATATTCTGTTTTTAATACTTTTAACTCAAACTGAGATTATTTCAAAGGTTAGCCATAGTATAATTTAAATAGAATTATAGTGTATTCTTTCAAACGTTCATTGATACAGTAACAAGAGCTTTTCAGAGTGGAATTTAAAACGGTTCGGTTCAGTACTGCAGAGATTAGGCAGTATCAAAGGCGGTAATGAAGGGGTGCACGACGTCAAGACACCGAAGACGCGTGTTACTTCTTGAAATACCTGTACCATTGTACCACGAACACTTTTAACCATTATTATAATTAAATAAAACTTTGAAAGAGGCTCTTGAAGTGCTGTCAATAAAGATTTACCGTCAGACTATATTTATGCAGTATTTGCAATTTTATTATTAGTCTAAATTAATATTATAAAGAGAATAAGCAAACCTTCTACCTTCTAGGAGTAAATATCACTCCCGTAGAACCTCGTACTAGGTTAACCTTTACCAAGTCTCTGTTTAATAATATGAATTTCGAGTAATACTAAGTGCAGTCTGAGCGTTAATTTACTCCAACGTTAAACCTTGTTTAATAATAACACTGTTTAAGTATAAATAATAGCAATACGCTGACGTAGTGGAGAAACACCGCGACCCGCGATCGTTGTTGTTAAACTTTCACAAGGGTCGGTCACGGAATGGGTAACCAAAAAATTATTATGTCACTCGAGCTACTCCGTGCTTCGATTGGAAAGGCATGTCGAGTCCCACATTAGGCCAGCGTGGGGGATAATGGCCCATCCTCCTTAACCATCAATAGGAAGGCCTGAGCCCTTACAATGGGGA